GGAGAATGTTTTTGTAGTAAATAAGATCATGGATGTCGAGAAGATATTCCTGGCTGAAACGTTTCAAATGCGTTTCATTTAGTCTTTTACAATTTATTTGTTTGTTTGTTTTTAATAGTCTGCAGCATTTGCATTTCGATTCGAGAATGTATAATTTTTAAATTCAAACTCTTCTAAATTTTGAAACATAATATTTTGACTCCAAAAAAAAAAATATTTGCACTGTGACTGAGCTCATTAATATCCCAAAAGAATAGTGTTTATAAAACTGTATGAAGCAAATAAATATGTACCACATTGTTTTTGACAATATATGTTGTTTGTTATGTGGCTGTGAATGTGCTTCGGTCAATCTCTATTATTATGGAAATGATATGCAAATGATATGCAAATTAGCCCTTCACAGTGGTTTAAATTCCTGGGGAGAACACTGGATGATCTATCATGGTTATATTCCTGAATATTGCAATATAAATATCACCCACTATTGCTATTTTGTTGCTATTTTGTGAGTTATATCAACATCTAGATATGGCTATGGTCAGAAATCAACTGCCGCTCACAGTATCAACACTGTCACATATCACTGACTTTCAAAGAGCTTCATTAAAAAATTCACATATAATAACAACCAAATTAATGTCTGAAAAAATAATTACCCACTGCCAAATATATTTCTGTGAAAACAAAAAAACTTGCTACATTATGTGGAGTCTTTGTGTGGGCCTTGCTATGCACCGCGACAGAAAAACACTCTCAAAGTTAAAAAAATGTCAAAATATGAGCAAAAATCGGTGTTTTAATGAGCCAAGGAAAGGCCAATAAATCTACAAAGAAGTCGCCAATTGAAAAATGAAAAGCAAACGTTGCTAGCTTAGACTAAGTACCACTATCACACAAATATATGTAGGACATAAATTTCCGCTATAAATCAAAACTTGAACAAGTTGGATGCCTGAATACAGAGAATTGCCGTCTTGAGTGTTTATGAGTATAAACATAGATACTGAATAATCATGAAAAGTTGACTGATTGATGTGCACAGTTTTGATCTGTAATTAACATCATTGCAATATTTCGCATGAGAATGTATCAATTATGATCTGATTTGATGTATCACCATGGAATTCAGGTAGTATTGGGATGCTGGTTAAATTTAAGTACGACAATTGCTAATCATGTATCTTATTTTCCATAAACCACATAGAGTAATGCTTAGACACAATATATCACGTAAAGTTGGCCTCAGCCTATCCTAGGCTTTGCTAACAAAGTTGACATTGTGAGCAATGAATAAAATGAATAAAAATAACATTAGCGGGTAGTTCAACAAATGCCGCCAATGGTAATCAATTAAAATAACAAAGGTTGTCATACTTGTAACTTGGCAGGCTACCCTGAAGCTCAAATGAAACTAGCTCGTACATTCACTATTAGAAGAACAAAAACGAAAATTGAGAAGTTGATCTAGCTATAATGTATTTATAGTGGCTTAAAAAATTTGATTTATTGTTTGAAAATTCATCTTACATTTTATTGTTTGAGGTGGGGGGTGGGGGGGGTGGGTGGGTGGGGGGGGGGGGCTACATGTATTTCTGACTTGGTCTGCTACATCTATTTTGTATGCAAAATTTCATAATTTTAAAGGGACATGAGTTGTGTTACCGGTATTCATGTACCGTATTTGTTCTTTTAGAAATGCATATTTAATAGCGACACGCATAAACCAAAAATTACATTTATTCTGCATTGCATCATAAATCGTGTAACTTATGACAATAAATATGTCTATTTCATTTATGTGAACATATGTGCTACTAATAGAGTGAATACAATAACTGAGCTAGGATGACACTTGTCTTATCACATTTAATATACACCAGTGTTCTCTCTAGGAAAATAGCATAGAGTATTGGCTAATTTGCAGAACGATTTGGTATGCTAATCACCTATGTTATTCATTGTTATATTGTTTATCTAAATTTTAAAAGTTTGAAACCCATGCTCTATACTGTCCTGGGAAGAACCCTGTACAATATGCAAACAGTACCTAGACGGATTGAAAATTATTTTTTTCGACCAAATAATCTACTTTTTCAGCTACATGTATATTTGTAGTTATTATTGAAAATATATGATATGTAATATGCAAGTGCCTCGTACATGTCGGTAATTTTAGTGCAGTCAGTTGTATGGATAAAAAATATTTAAAAATATATGTGAAAAACATAGATTACATGTATGAGCTTTTGATTCAGTCTCTGAAGACAATGAATTTCGGTGTTCAGAGAATTAAACGAGGCTTCGTACAAACTCTTGCAACATTGAGTTTATGCGTACTTCAGAATGTAGGGTAACTAATACAGTAATATGTTACAAACCAAAGCCCTTGATGCTTAATAACAAATCAATCTACACATGTCACATACTTCAAATAGTGACTTATTTCTTGCTTGATTACATCATACATGATGTTAATCATTACAGACTACAATGATATATTTTCACTATGTCACAAAAGATCACAGACACAACATATTTTATATTTCAATAGTCTTTGGGCAAACATTTATCAATCAATACTACAGTTATAATTGCGGTTGTGGACTTTGCTACTTCAATACTTCGCTTAAAATATTCAAAACTTGTAAACCAGTATCAAATTGTGGATGTTTGGTACAGATCTTTTTCTTTTTAAATTAGAGATAGTTACAGAAATGAGAAAACAAACTTGACCAATATAATATGCAGCAAAAGGGGAAAAAAATATTTATTTTTTTCATTCAGTATCATTTACTTTGTTCATGACTGCAACTACCGTAAAATCTGTATTAGAAGCCGCATCCCTAATAGAAGTCGCACCCATTCTTTTTGAACAATTGAGAGGCAAAAATTCATCATTTCTCATATGTGTAGGTGCTCTAATAAAAGCCGCATCCCCTCCATTGCATTGTACCATTTTAATAGAAGCCGCGGTTTCTAATACAGATTTTACAGTATTACTCTTCTGCCGGGGTAGATTTTGAAATTTTGATTCTTATAACATTTTAAACATGTGTTTAATTTTGATTCATTGTAAATTTTAAAAGAAAATCAAACTTAGTTGAAGAACTGTATGCTCACACTTGTGATTGGATGAGGACATCAGGTCACTCTGAAAACAGGCAATAATTGATCTATTTTATAGCCTCAGAATTATGGTTATATTTCAATATATCCTTAGAAAGGAGAGTTTTTTTCCCTTTAACAAAATACATTATCATGGCAAAACATTTTATATATGTTTCCAGGGAACAAACAATTTAATCGGATTTTGTTAATCAGAAAATTTTGGTCAAAATATTTGACAACTCCTGATTGCGTCGAAGAAAAATAAAATCATAGTCACATCCAAAAATGAAACACATACCTGTAGTGTAATCTACAAAATGATGAAGTGTATCACAAAATAGTATATTCATTGAAATAATTTATTTTCCATGGAATAAGTCATGTTATTTTTCAGGTATTTTTCACAAGAGTTAATTGTAACGAATTGATCAGAAAATTCGGTATCTGATTTGTTAACTTGATGTTGCCCTAAGATGCTGAGAACTTAGCCTTTCCTTTAGTCGATTGGGGAAAAAAATAGCCAAAAAACTAAAAATTAACTCAAATTTTGTCTGTTGGCTTCATAATTGGGGTTCATTTCTAAAAAGTATTGAAGAATATAAAAAAAAAGTGCAGAAAAATTTGGGTGAAAAAGTCTGGTGATGAAAAGTTTAATCAAAATATAATTCTAATGAAAATGTTTGGTAATATACGACTATTTACCCGGATATCTTGCAACTACCTGTTTTGTATATGCCAATGGCTTCTGATAAAATAAAAGCAATTATCTAGCATAAAATCATGTATAATCCATCCAGATAAGATATCTGGCGGCCATTAAAACTGATCAGCTATTTAGCTGACTTTTGTAAGTAGGAATTATTTTATGCTGTAATTCACAAAACCCTGATCAAAAAGTCACTATAAACTACTTACTTTTTACTCAAATATGTTATAAATATGTTAAATAAAAAGTTCTTACACATCTCAACATGTGATGAGGTCACTCCTTATCTAGGTGGGAAACTTCTGCTGATAATAACAAATACTTACAAAACAACAGTTTATTTTTACATTTTTCCTTCAAAACAAATATGTTATACTGGGGAGGACCTTTAACTTTACGTTTTATAATAATTTGTTGAAAAAACGATGCAGCTAACTATTAAAAATGCGAAAAATGTAAAAGTACTACAATTTTTTTTAATTTTTGTCATTTTTGGTGAAAAGTGATATTTTCGACTTCTTGTTAAAAACCACAATGCTGATTGCTTTGATATTACATATATAGGTACTACATGTTTATCTCTCTCAGATTTGTGATGATATCTTTAATTCTCTAATTTTGGTTAATATTTTTGTAATTTTTGGTAAAAAGTGGTATTTTCTATTCTTGTTGAAAACAGCAAGTCCGATTGCCCTGATATTGTTCATTTTCTAAAGATATCTTCAGTTCTTCAATTGAAATGTGCATTGCTAACAGCGGAGCTATCTCAGCCGACAGGCTGCTTGTTAAATTTTAGCGACCATTTTGAATTAAAAATTGCCAAAGTATGTACGTGTACAAATGAAGTCTATAAAATATTTAAAAACAGTTTTTCTATCCCAAGGTTTTTTCTTTGGCATTTTAACTAGCCCACTCGGAGTAATATTACAACATCTTTTCAGGAAATTGTTGATTTAATCTCTGACTTTTGTATACTAATAAAATACTGTAGAATACTTTATTTTCGCTTGGAATTTATTTTCGCTATTTTCGCTGAATCATTTCAGTGAAAATTAATTCCAAGTGAAAATAAAGTATTTTACAGTAGGTACATCTATTTGATACCTAACGTCATATTCAATTGTACTTTTTTATTTCTGTAAGATTTCAAGATATATTACAATTTGCTTTTTTTTTATTTCAGGAAACACTCCTCTTCATCTAGCAGTAATACTCGGCCATAAAGGTATGGTATGGTTTTAATATTGTTAGCGTTACATTTTTATGTTCTATGTGTCCAATTAATTTATTACCTTAGGAATTATTCTTACATGTGTAGACCGAAATATGGTTTGCGAGTGAGTGTGATGTTTTGTTGGAGTACGAAACAGTGGGCTTGATTAGCATTGAATCATGTTAGCGACTCATGCTTACCAAAATTGACACCAATGGATGTAGTACCGGAAGTCAACATAAACTGTGATAATTTTCGTAAAGTACATGTAGGTGAAAGGTCACATTTGACGCTATTAAGTTATTAAGTTAGTGATAAACCACCCACGGAAACTGAAGTGGTAGCAGTTTATTGGTTGGTTAAAGTTCATGCATTTAAAGCCGATTTTATTCTGTACATACATGTATGTACAGCGATTACTGCTAAAGGTAATTCAGAGATATATGTGGGTGTTGATTCTTATCTGCACACATCTCCAGTTAACAAGTTCACATCCATTGTCAAAATCTGACTATTATAAAAATTATATTGATGCAAATTGAAACCTACTGTAAACGTATTAATTTTTGCTATTTTGATATTCACTGGGTTGTGATTTCATAGATTTGCATTTTCTATTGCATGAATTAATTAACTGAGGGAATTTAATTAGTCCAATTGAAAGCTGGTTGAGTAATTATATTAATTCATTTACCGTACTCGACCGCGTTAGCGCCCATGCCCGGTCAAGCGCCCACCCCCAACTTTTGCGCAATTTTTATATTTGGGGTCACATTCGGCAAAGCACCCACCCCTTCAAAATGCAACTAATTTAAAACTTGGTCTTGCGTAACGAATCTTGGTAATCGTTTTTTGTATGATACAGCGTGGATATCGACCTTTGTGAACATGTTGTGAATGTGTAGAACACGGTACCGTGAGTACGCTTCGACAATGACCTGTTAATACAAGTAAAATGCGGTAAATACTTCATGCCATATACAGTTTACCTCTCAAAAATGGCTCGTTACTAGTTTTTTGGAAAAACTATGTCGTTTATTCGCTGAAATCGATTCCAACAGTTCATACTTCGACATTGATAATTCACTTCCGCATTGCGTTACCGGGAAGTCTTCGGGAATTTCCGAAGAATTGTGTCAGTACAACACAGCATTGTGATTGGTTAATAACCAACTTGACTCATTAGGTCAAAGGACGCCGCTGCAGGTGAAATCTGCAAATGCATCATGGCGGAAAGTGATTTTCATCGAGAGTTGCATATGACCCAACACCTTCGTCAGTGGAGATAATATGACAATTTTGACTTCGACTGTGTTCCAACAGACTCAAATGTTTTTAATTTCGTAAATTCTGGTGGTACGTAATTAATATTGTAATAAAATGTGCATATTTTTTGTGATCATT